ACACCCACACCCACACCCACACCCCACACCCACACCCACCCCACACCTGCAATGATTTGATCCTTGACAATTTTTTGGTGATTTTTCGATAGTGTGCTTGAATATTAGTCAAACAAATAATGTATAGAAAAGCGATTTAGCAGATTTTAAAAGGAAAAATATTTGTGAAATCTTAATATCATTATTCTGGGTTTTATTGACTTTTGTTGACGATTGAATGAGATCGCCAGAATGATATTGACATTTTTACTGGATGCAAACAGTAGACGAGGCCATGTGTGTTCCTGTTGTATATTTGTCTGCTTTCTTCAATATTTGATTATGAAAGACAATGATCCTAACTTCGTAAATAAAACTTTAAGGCAGTGACTATTAAAACAAAAACACTAGATGGATATGTTTTTTCCTTGACCTAAGTTGTTCTGATACAAGTGAAAGTAACGTCATTTTAATAACCATAATTGTAAATTTTGATTTGTGATACAATGAATACAGTTCATTTCACTCTTGAATCATTCTCTATGTCAATATTTAATCTAAGTTAGTCATTTGAATCTGATTTTGATCTTTTCATAATGACAGAACATTTTCTGTAGTAACAAGTTCGACCCCATTTCAAATAATATCAAATTCTCATCGTGACTTTGCAAATCATACTTCATTGCCAAATTATCCATCTAATTTTAGAATCAAGTTTATTTTCTATTAAATTAAAAATATAATTAAAATATACAGTTCAAAACATGATCGTTATAACCAAGTCCTTCCTTCATTTAAAATCTTCACTGGACACGGTAATTGATTCCCAGTATATTTTTTCCAAGCATCTTCGCTCTTACCTTTAGCATCGTATGCCTCACGTAAACGCCAAAATGCGTCAACAAGTGTAATAAAATCCATTGTTTGAAGTCGTTTACCATTAAATATTTTATAATAGTTTGTTACAATTTGAACATATTCATTTCGATAAAAATGTTTCAAATGACGAGCATAGACAATCAAAGCTGTTCCAGTATGAAATTGAATAGCAAAGTGTTATTAAATCAGTATGAGTATGATTATCATTAAACCATTGTCGAACGTCTTTCGATATGCAATTTTTCAAGTGATTTTCCGGTTCATTTATCTTTGGTGGACTTGTTTTTGTATGATGATTTTGGTATTGTAATAGCCTTGTGATCAGTAACAAACATTGATACGAGCTCAGTAAGAGCATCTATGAAAACTTTTCTTCCAAAATGAACATATTTTTGTCTCGCAATTCAAATTCCAGGCCAACCATTTTCTTTAGATTATTGATTAGGAGCATTAATAGCTATAGTTGGCCTAAACATACAGTAGTGAGTTAACGGCAAAATCGGTGAGCATGTTATGTGCATAAGGTGATGACCAACTTTTATTAGCTTTTCTTGACATAAAGACGTCTGAATCATGCAAAACAAAATGGTTATCATCGTAGATTCGTAGCGTGTCTACTGATGGCACATATATTGATATTGTATTTCAATTCGACTCTTCTTGTGGTGGTATCAGAGGTGTCGCGAGCAGGACGGGCAGGTGCACCCCCCCCCCCCCCCCCAGTGGGGGTTTTTTTCTACGGGAAGGGGGGCTGGAATTTTTTGCCCTGAAGCGGATTTATTTTGCTCAGAACTGATCGTATATCACTCAGAAAATCAACTTTAGGAAAAAATTAATTTTTTGAAAAAAGTTTTTTTCTCGAAAGTATCTGATGGGAGCCTTTTTCCGAACCAACTAAAGCTGACAAGAGGGACCAAAACTTCTATGTCATTACATAGCCCGTAAGTCAGAGTATATGTAACCGTATTTAAATCATCAAAAAGTACACTTTCAATTTTTTACCTAATGTTCGCCTTGGTGCTTACTGTGCCTTCCCCTCTAATCTAGAGAAATTTTGTTTCTTTTGCTCATCAATTAGAGAAAACTGTTTACGTTTTGAGCTCAAAACATCAGAAAAAGTTATGTATACCTCCTAAAATTCGAAAAATTTCCGATTTTTTTTTCGAAAGTAGACGACCATCTGGAAAAAATTCGAAAAACTTTCAATTATTTCTGAGAAAACGTCGATGTTTGTAGCCAGAAGTTTCAAAAAAATGCCGATTTTTTCTCAAAATTACTGCCTTCCCATCTTTGGAGGATCGCGCCAGTCCTGAGTGATATTAATTGTTATCTATGTTCTCTCTTGCTTCTTATTGTGTACATTATTCATGTTTATGATTTCATTGTTTGCAATATTATTTATCGCATTATTGATTTTTTGTCAGGTATCTTATTCTCTCTTGTGCTATTGCTCACTAACTGTCGTGATTTCTTTCTCTCTTCCTTTGCTCATCATTTTACTCAATACATTATTGGACCATCATTCATTCACAGTTAAAATCATCTTCCATATCACTGTGACACATAGGATCACGTCTAGTCATAGCTTGTTTTAAAAGAAACAAAAGTCTCTGAAAGACAAAAGCAGAACTTAAGAGGAAGAAACCCCATGCTACCTATCACCTTCTAATTCTACACTCTGCATTTCACCTATTTAAGATTTCCGAACAGCTCACAACACGTTTTTTCAATGTATAAAAAGTATAAGAAAGTTCTTGTCTATTAGATTAATATCTCTCTTTTATTAGTGTGTTATGTCCTCTCATTGTACATTCACAAACAGCCGGCTGTCGTTTAATACCACATAACATTTTTTTTTCCTAGATGACCTTATGCTGACCTACTCGTTTCATTCTTTTTTCTCCACGGTATATTCGACAGTTGACCTTTTCCATGTATCTTACTCATAGAACAGAAAAAAAGAAAAAATTGCTGCTTATTGATAGTTATGCTTTGTTTTTCTCTCTCCTCTCCAGCATTCTTTCGTTATAAATATCTTTTCTTTTCTGGTGGCTGCATCACTTTCTTCATCGAGCAACATTCACAAAACGATAGCAATGTGTAAACCCACCGATATAAATACAATCACGGTACGAATAGGATGAAAACATCTAGAAGACTCACCCCTTAAGATCGGACTTGACTGATGTTTATATTGACACTTTCTGCTGTGATCGTACCAATAAAATTAGCATATTGACCACTTCTTCCACCTTTTCTTCACATTCGATGATTGTTTTCTTTTTCTTTTTGTTTTGTGCTTCATTATTAATTATTTTAATGTTTTTTATTCTAGGTACCAGCACCACAAACAACAACAATCACCGAAGAATTTCAACGGTGGTTGGAGGCCGAGGTTTGGCGATCGGAGACCGAGCTTTGGCGATCGAAGACCGAGCGTTGGCGATTCAAGGCGAAGGCCATAGAGTGGCGAGCCAAGGCCATAGAGTGGGAAGCCGAGGAGATAGAGTATTGGAAGCGGGTCCGGGCCAATGACAGGGCGCACCGTCGCCAGCTCCGATATTTGAAGAAGTGGGCCGAGGCCAGGGAGGCTGAGTCCAGGATTTGGTGGGCTCAGCGTGGGTGGTGTGGTGGCAGTTTTGTGCAGGATGGGTGGACGTTGATGTAGTATGTTCCGCCGTGCTGGCAGGAAGTCTTAAGTGGGGGTGGAAGAGTGGTCATGTGGGTGACTTTTTGTGTAGTTCTTGCTCCCTGCTTTTTTGTTTTTGTCTTTTTTTGTTAAATCTATAAAAAGAACTTTTTTAAATATTTGAAGCGGAAGATAAGCGGTTTAGGATAAGAATATTCCTTAGATGGACAAAATGCAAAAGTGGGTGTGGGTGTGGCTGTGGGTGTGTGGGTGTGGATGGGTGTGGGTGTGGGTGTGTGGGTGTGGGGGGTGGGGTGGGTGTTGGTGGGGGTGTTGGTGTGGGTGTGGGTGTGGATGGGTGTGGGTGTGGGTGTGGGTGTGGGTGTGGGTGGTGTGGGTGTAGATGTGGGTGGTGTGGGTGTCCAGTGCGGGTACTTAAATCATGAAAAACGAATACCCACACTCACACCATCACCCACACCCACACCCACACCCACACCCACACACCCACACCCACAC